CTTTCTCTCAGTTCTTTGGTGCCAGCAGCTGTCTGAATGCTAATGAGTGCTGGGGACGATCAAATGAGCGACAAGCAACATTAGTAGCAAAGCCTGGCCACCCTTGGTGTTGTTGTCTTTATGGCTATGTAAACTCTTGGATGAGGTTTTATATTATATCCATACACTGAGGTCACATTTCCCCGGTTAAAAACCCTTCCTAGTTTATGCAATAGGACACAGCAGGGGTGCAATGTCTCTTCAAACTGCAACAGAAATGGACAAATTGGAGAATTATGTCCTGTGACCCACCGTTGGGGCCCTTGAACCTGCCCGGGTGCTTCAGGGCCTCCGTTCCGTCCGGATCAGCACAGCAGCTCTGCATGGAGCCTCTGAAGCCCAGTAGGCTAAAGTCGCCAGCCACGGTGGTTTCAGGAAGGCTGCCGGGGCTCAACTGGGCTTGGTTTTTCCTCTCCTTCAAGCAATTCCCGGCTCTTATTTAGTTTTAAATTAAATCAAAATTGCAGCACATGGATTTGAATTAAAACAAGAGGCCCGATCTTTGTAATATGCACCACATCAATAGGAAAGCTAATTTGTGCAAAGCACATCTCCTCCTTTAATTTAAACCACAGAGCTCCGCTTCTCCGGTTTCAAGGGAGCTGAGAACTGGGCAGGGCAGCTCACCCCAGGCACTAACTACGGCTGTGCTGAGAGGGACAAGAACAGTTTCAGGGGAGCTTAGCGGTCCTCTTAAGCCCTTTGTTCCGGGTGTCACATGATACAGCAGAACAGTTGTGAACTCCTGGCCTTGAATTTAAAGAAGGTCTGAAAATGTCTCAGGGTAGACTCCCCCAACTGACTCTTAACTGCAACCTAGCTACCAAAAACAGAAATTGCGTTATTAAAAGCTTCTCAAGGCAAATGAAGCAGAGAGACCACACTGCTCCTGACCTTGAGACCTCATTTTAAGGTTCCAAGGCTGCATGTGTGTGGATTACTAGATTACACAAAACCAATCGGGTAGGGTCTGTGCTAGGTGAGAAATTCAATCTGGGTCCTGACAGTTGCTTCGCTCAGTTTAACTGGCTCTAGAGGCCAAAGGTGGAGACGGTGGGGGTGCGGGGGCTGGGGAGGGCACAGGGTGGTGGAAGTGGCAGTAAGGTCATCAATGAACAATGTGTGCTTTGCTCAAAAACATTGCTGTACCCCAGCCATCTACACAGCTCCATGCCTTGCTTCAATGCTCACTGCCGGTAGTGTGTGCTCCCCAACAGGAGGTAAGTAATAAGCAGCTGGATCCCTCTGCAAACTGTCACCTCCAGGTGCATCCAGATTTGGAAACAGGTCTGATTCAGGTTTTATGGGGCCTGAAACTTACACATTTTTGGATCCTCTTTAAGAAAAATGATACAAAAACACCTTTCACAAATTTTATATACCATTAGGACACACTGCTAGCGCCCATCCCAGGGTCTTGGAAGGGGGACACGGGGAGCTTAAAACTGAAGCTTCTTTAACTTTACAACTAAATCCACTTCTGCTTGAAATACATCACCAGTTCTCTACCTGCCCAGTGCAAAAAGGCATGTACAAGGTGAGGGTAAAGTTGATGGAAAAGGCTTTGTCAAATAGTAGGTGTAATTGACTAAGACAGAAATTCTGGTTCTTATTTGATTGGTCTTTGAAACATCTGTGGTGCATCGGCTTAGGGAACCAAGCTTGGCCCAAAGCCAAGTTCTCTCTCTTAGCCTGCAAGCCACCTTAAGGGCAGGGTTCTCATCGCTGTCTTTGTTCACCCAAAAACCTACCAAAGAGAGCCTGTCAGGGAGTGTCTGCTGAATGAGTAGCTGGGTGACTGATTGAGGGATTGTGTAAATAAATTCACGCTCCCATTTTAGATCGAGGGTCATTGCTGTTTATCTTCTCCAGAGGACTCTTTGAAAAATGTTTTAAGTTATGTAAAGAAAGGCTCCATCTAAATTTATTAGTGAAGCATGGACAAGTGGTTTCCACCAGACAGCTTCCAAACTTATCCTTCTTACTGGATGACCAAAACCACTCTAGACATAATTAAGAGCATTAAACTACATTATAATGCAAGTATTCTTTAAGGGGTTTGGCTGTGTCTTCTGGCTTCAGCAGCTGTTGTGCCCACACACCCAGAAAAGGCTAGACAGTGTGTTATTTGATCTGCTTTTTCACTTCCTCCTCAGGCTTACATTACCTTACGTTGACCTTTTAAATTCTGTACTTCCTGGCAAATATATTTAAAACTTTAGGTCCTGAGTGAGGTATGGCATATCAGAATTCATGCAGAAAATCAAAGCCCAGTCTGGACCATTCTTTTGAAGAAAAATACTGCCCTGCACATGGTGAACTCCATTGGTCCTTCCTACACTCTGAAGGGAGTCAGTGGGTGCAGTGTAGAACCTGAGACTATGGCTGGGAGGGGTGTCACCCACGTGTGTGGTTTACTGTGAACAGGATCGGGGTCAGGTTTTCATGAGAGACATGTTAAGACATGCTAGAGTTGGCCTGGGCTAGGAAGGGCACGGTTTTGATTTAACTTTTGTTCTCATGACCTTGAGGGTAAATCTGAAGTTGTGTCAAGACAGATGAGAAGGCTCTAAATTCAAAGTCAAGAGGCCTGGGTTCAAGTCTCAATTTCATCTCTTATGAGTTGTCAGATCGTGAGCAAGATACTCAAAAACTCTCCATGTCTTTCTCTCTCTCTTTCTTTTTTGTAATCTGCAGGAAGAGACCAAGAGCGCCTATCTTATCTTGCCCTGGCTATGAGTCTCAAAACATTACCCACAAAAGGTCTTAGAAAGGTATAAAGTGACTTTGGAGTTGAGCATCTATGATTCCATTACATAACCATATAACATTATAATCTCCTCATTTTTAAGAAGACAGCTTTTTAGTGGAAAATCCAATGTTCTTAATGCTAGGAACTAGCAGATGGATATTCCCTTGAATTAAACTATTAATGTCAATCCCATTAAAGTGATGGGGTTATTATTTTTCTTCTAGAGGATGAAGATGATCTAGAACAGGGCCAGATAGTAAATATTTTAGGTTTTGTGGGCCATACAATTTCTGTTGCAACATTCGCCTCTGCTCTTAGAGCACAAAAGGCAGCCACAGACAATATGTAAACAGAGGGGTATAGCTGTGTTCCAACTTTAGTTACAAAATTCCTGTGGGCTAGATTTGGTTCAAAGGCCATAGTTTGCTGACTCTCTGATTTAGGATATCATAAAGGTATCACCGAATTCTGGGCTTCCGCACATCCCCTGGTCATACACACCATACTGCTGGCCTCAGTTTTTAATGCAGCTCCAATCCAACAGCTAAGCAAACATAGAAGGTGCCAAATCCAGAAAGCCACGAGGTTATTTGGGCAGACACTTCACATCCCAACATGGCTATCTAAACCTTGCACTTCTCTCACAATCTTCTTTGTAAAAAAAAGCATTGTTTAAAATATAATCTCCAAGTTTTAAGAATAAACCACCATTCTCCAGAGTAAAGCTACTGATATCTTGATGGGAACGAAGGAAAAGTGCTTCCCAACTCCTAGAAATGCTTTGCAAAAGTGCAACCCAGTGCCGACTTCTTATTTATGTGATCCAATTTGCCTTTTGTTTTCCCACAATGGAGTCAATCATTACCAAAGTTCATCACTGCTCTAAGTCAAAGATCACCTATCGGTACGAATTATCCTCTGTATGACTCCCTCTCTCACCCCGCCGGCATGTCTGGAAACGTAGAGCAGCACTGTCCGAGGCCTACAGAAGGACATTTTTAAACTCTGGGTCTCCATTTGCCAGTACTTGATTAAATGACTCATTCTCAGCCTGAGAGCTCCCACCCTTTACTGTGTGGAACAGGCTAGGAGGGACCTGAAGGTGAAACAAGCCTTTTATTCCTACTACTACGTCTAAAGATGTGGATCTGGGACACTTAGTTGGGTTTGAGGTGAAGTCTCACAGACCTGGGGTTAGGGATGAGTTCATCCTTGGCCAAGTTACTTGACCTCTTTGAGATCCTGAACCTCAGTTTTTCCATATACAAAATGGGTTAATATCTGCTTTATAGGATTGATATATAGTGAGTGGCAAACAGCAGATACTCAATAAATGATCGTTTTCCTCACTCTTTCCATATCTCCCTGAATACCCCAAATTTTGTTTGCTCTATTCTGAAGCAGTTTTGTTTTACTCTCATGCATCTTCCAATGAACTACCTCTGAGTGTAATATAAGTGCACAAATACATAGAAGGCATGTAAGGGGAAAGGTCTCCAAACAAGAAAAGGCTGATGGTAGGAAAATTAATTGAACAGAGAGAAACAGAATCCCCAGGGTAGTTCAGGGTCAGCAAATTCATTTTGTTTATTTTCTTTGGGAAAAAAAGAGCCTTCAGGTATGGTTTGAGAGCAGAGATCCTGTTGATCTCATCCACCTGTGCCTAGAACGGCTCTTGGCATTTGGTGGGAGTGCAATTAATACTTGTTTTCTCAACTAATAACTGATCATACTTAGATATGATTTGCTTTTGTATTAACCATAAGAAGTTGCTGGAGCTTGGCATTAGAGAAGGAGCAGGGTTTCTAAAGAGAAGGAGCTTTAACACTGAACAAAAATGGTACCATTTACACACTATTTACCTGCAAGTATGCAATTCATGAAATTATTAAATTATGCAAATTCTCCCAAGTGAAAATTGATCTGAAATAAGTCAGGGGCAAGTCCAATGCCTATTCCAGGCCAGTTTCCGGCAGATACTGAACCTTGAGGCCATTCCAACAAGATTCCCTTTAATTGCATTTCCCTTCTGGAAAAAAAAAAAATCCCATTGTTGTTCAGAACTTATGGATATCCACATGGCAGTATGTACAATGGGATAAAGAGAAGTTATGCTTCCCCAGAAGGTCTCTAAGTATCCTCATGGTTGTCCAAGCACTGGGAAATTACGAGAGAAGACGTGCGCTAACACACAGTGTAGTTCACATACCTGAAAACATCATTATGTGCTGAAAGTTCCAGGGGATCTTGTGTTTCCGGCCCAGATTCAGGAGGAAGGAGAGGGGATATATGTTGCATGCTCTGGCTACAAAAATTGCTAGCTGTGGATAAGCACAGGGAAACATTGAGGAAAATGTTGCTGCAATAAGGGTGAGAGTTCTTGAGCTTTAAATATTATGTCCTAAAGCTTCTCTATATTAGGACCCAGAAAACAGGAATAAACATGTCAATACATGTATGTCCAACTTGCTTCCAAAATTCATTTTTCAACGTCAGTTCCTTTCCAGAAACAGTAGAGAACTCTGTCTTCTTTGAACCTATACTCGGTTTAAAATTGTTAACTCAATACCATTTCAATCCCTGTAAATTTTCTCATCATGTTTATGCTGCTGATAACTGACTCTACACTCAGGTCTGCTGCAAAATGTGAGGCAGAGACTGTTCCGAGGCTGTGGTATTGTCCTCTCAAGCAGCACTTTAGAAAGGATAAATGTGCTTCAGCTCACGATTATCATCTTACTTTCCATCAGTTTATACTCCTTAAACCTAGCAAGTTTCATTTATTTTTTTTCTTTTAGTGGATTTAATTTTGAGAGGAACTGCCTGTCTAAATGTATAATACAACTTCTGCTTTAAGAGGTGTTTCACTAAACTCCAAGCTTTCTAGGTTAAAAATCTATGAAAATATTTGTGGTAGTCATCTCTCCTCTTTTGACATCTTGGACTCCTTCCCTGATAGTCTGTCTATTCTAGTTTGTCCTCAAATGGGATGGAGTTATTTGGGAAGAGGGAGCTTCCTTCTAAGATCCAGGTTTCAGATGGAATTTGAAAATTCACTTGACTGCTCAATGAAAAGAGAACCAGAGGTAGGTGCCGGTGCTTAGTTGGACACTGGCTTCCAGAGAGGAGTCGGCTCTCTTGGCTGTTACAATCGTCTGCCTGTGATCCTAGGGGGCATCTGCCCATTTTCCAGGTGGGAACAAGGACAACAGCTGCTGACTGTCCTTGGGGACGTGCGCAGTGGCTCAGTATCCTTTCTGATAGACATCCCTTCCTACTGGGAATGCTTATACCCCAGACCTAGAGCTAGAAAAGCCCTCTGCATTAAAATTGAAGTCTAGATTTCACCTGTCCTTTTACTTACAGGAAAGGGGCTAGCTTATTAAAATAAACTTACATGTGCACAGTGCTTAAGACATTGAAAGCACATCTATCATGTTAATTTCACTTGATCTTTACTATCTTTTTTTCAAAGTCCTCACTGGAAAAAAAGATTTTACCATCTTGCACTGAAAGTATTTCTGAAGTTCTAAATCCTGGCTGTCTTCTGATACATTCTAATGCAGATTAAATATAAAAAATGGATTGACATACTCTTTATATAAATGATTCATAATTTGAGTTAAACATATTTTGAATATTCAAAAAATGTCATTTTCTTTTAGTTTTTCCCCCTTACTTCCCTCAGTATTTTCCAAACTTTTTATCCTGAACCATAACATTTAGTAAAGGCCCCAATTTCTTAGAATAATTTCCACCCCTAATTAGAATTACTTGTCTGCCTTGAATTTGAGCTTTGCAGTAAACCTGAGGAAATACTTTAACAATTTAACAGAATAATCACTAAAGGTAAGCAGTTTGTTCTCTTTTCTCATCACCCATTGTTCTGTATTTCAAAGGATACAAAGGCTCCAAGTATGAAAAGAGCATTAAAGATATGATTCTGGAACGTGAACAGCGCCAGGCCCATGTAACAGAAGATGACGTTCTCAGCCAAGAAGTTCATAAATTCAAACAACTGAAAACAAAACAGAAAACAAAACCCATGAATTATGACTCAGCTTTGAGTCCATTTAATTTCTTGTGACTGTATTTGGTGACTGAATGGTCCTCCTGTAACTGGCAAGGCCATCCTTTGGCCTTCTGCTCAGCCTCTGGCGGGGTGCAGGGGCCCTGCCTATCCTGCCAGGTCAGCTGACTCTACACTGGCTCTCTACCCAGTGACAGATGCTGCAGCCGTGTCAACATCCCACCCTCCTTTCCAACTGCAAGGCTGCCAGAGATACCCCAGGGTGAGATTAACTGGCCTGATCCTCCATGGAACAATTCCTACTAGGACGAAAGAATAGTCCCTGTTACAGAAACTGAAACTACAGGATTTGCTTAACGTGTACCATAGTGAACGATGCAAGAATTGTTTAGTAGATACACGTGAGTTCCCAGACCCTGAAGAACTAAATAAAAAAAAGAAAAAAAGAGCTTTATCTAAATTACCTTCCTCAGGCAGGCAGGAAGGGCAAACCTGGAAAACTTAGAAACCTGTAGTGAGGGTGAATGTCGATTATATTTCAATATTAGAATAATCAGTATATTTCAAACTTCAGACAATGCGACTCATTAAATTGACTGATGTAGGTATATCCATTAAATGTCTACAATCTCTAGCTGGTAAAATGGAAATGATTAATCCCAGGGATCAGTTAATTCAGCAAGAACACAATCGAGACATCAAATTCAGTCAGAGGGATAGAGTAATAACATGTTATGCTGAGGGATGCCCCCAAGAGTTATTCTTAGACCATTAACTAAACAATTTAAGTTGAACAAGAAAAACATTCTCCAACTTCCAGATTAGAAGTGAAAGGGAAATGTGTCCAAGGGCTACAGCAAAGGCAGATTTAGAAGAGATTTTAGTTTATGATCCAGACTATTCATTTGGAAGTTCTGAAACTTCTTTCCCAGACCTACATAAATCACCATGTTAGGTAGACGTCTCTGGAGACATTTCTCTTGATTTTTTAAGGACTCATTATTTTTTCATGTAATGTATTTACAGCCCCACAAATAATGACCAATACCTGTTCACCGACAGCTGACAGAAAGAAAAGCAGAATCTTGTCAGACGCATTATTTAAAACCAGTAATAGAAAGAATGGATTAAAAAAAAAACCACAGTTCTTTTGGTACAGGATGGTCTTTCTGCAGGGGTTAGTGATCGTCAATTATCCTGAGTACTCACTTTACATTCTAGGCCAGCCCATCTAAACAAACACCGTCACTCAAATAACCACAGACAGCTTGAAAATATAGGGGGAAATGTAGGAGATGGGGGACACTTTTCTATCTCATTATGTCTTTACTTTTTCAAAAAGTGAGATTTGGCTGCTGTCTTAATCTGCCATAACATGTCAGGCTGCTATAACAAAATACTATAGATTGGGTGCCTTGAACAACAGAAATTTATTTCTCATAGTTCTGGGTCTGGGAAGTCCAAGATCCAGGTGCTGGCTGATTTAGTTCTGGTGAGGGTCCTCTTCCTGGTTTGCAAACAGCAGCCTACTTGCTGTATCCTTACATGGCAGAGAGAAAGGGAGATCTTCTCTCTTGTGTCTCTTTTTCTGAAGGCACTAATTCCATTCATGAGCACTTCACCCTCATGACCTAATTACCTCCCAAAGGCCCCACCTCCAAATGCCATCACACTGGGGATTAGGACTTCAACAAATGAACTTGAAGGGGATTAAGGGGAGACATTCAGTCCAGAGCAGCTATCCAGTTTTTGACATTAATAATCACATATCAAGGTTAAATTCATAGGGCTTCTCCTTCTCCGGTCCCCATCCCAAGTGTATTTTACTTTAGAGGGGACATTTTGCTGACTAGGATCCATTCAGCCTCTTGTTAGTGGTCATACCCCAATTTGCCTCTGGGGTCCACCTCTTTCCCCACGCTCAGCCCAGCATGTTTGGTTCAGAAATGTGTGTGATGAATTCAGCAGTTATTAGCTGGAGTTAGGACTTCTGATTGTGAGACATTAAAAAAAAAAAGTAAGTTAAGGAAACAAAGGATATGTCTGTACACGTATGAATCCATCGTGTATTAACATATACATATACATATACATATACACATAACTTGCACTCCACTTTACAGACGTTTGACATTCCTATTAAATTTTGTTTTTTACCATGAACATGTTACTTTCATAGCTTAAAAAACTGAATTAAATTATAACAAAAATTTTAAAGTGGAATAAAATACTTCCCAAATGTTTTCCTTCTTTAGCCTTGCTTAAGCTCCAACTCTTCATCTTTTAACTTTCAGGAAGTTATCAAGCATTCTTATCTAATCTTTTTCTTATTTTCTTTAAAAGTTGTTCTTGAGTGCAGGAAAATACAAACAACAACCAAAAAAAGCACTTATCTTTTTGTGGAACATCTTTTTCAGTGATCTCTTTATTCACAAATCCATAGATTATATAGACAACATGCATAATGTTACATAAATCTGACCGTATTTTTATATAATTTACTTTAATTAACTCAGTAATATTTCACAAGCCTCTTTCCATGGCAATAAATCTCAATCTACTGAACAATTTTTAATGGCAGCACAATATCCCTTTGTATCTTCATACCCAATTTTATTTCACTGTATCTATTATTACCCATTATTAGACATTTGGTTGTTTCAGATTTTCCCCTTATAAACAGTGCTGCACTGAGCATCTTTATACAAATCTCTCTCCCCAGCTGAGTGATTACTCCTTAGGTGAAATTCCTAGATCTGGGCTACTTCTGTCAAAGGATATATATTAATTTTTCTTTTTCAACATACTACCAGCCTGCCCTTCAGAAATATTATACCAATTTACATCTCTAATAATGGTGTAGAGGCCGCCCTTTCCTCACACTCTTGCCAAAATTAATTTTTATCAATTTTTAAAAAAACCTTTGACAATCTAATAGACTGACTTATTTTAAATTGTAGATGGTTGTTAGCATTTTAAAAAAGATTCCCTTCATAGCAAGGCAGCAGCACTGAGTAGCACTCCTTTGTCTACTTATATCATGTAACAACATTCCTCTGAATGAACAGGCTTCATAATAACTTCCTTCTCAGGGCACTTAATGAAAATGTGTGGGCAAATTCAACTTTGTGCTTCACATGCAAAAATCTCCTGAAGACGTGTTTCAGAAAGAGAATGTACCTTAAGGCCAAGCTGACAGAAGCAACCAATTTGACCATTAAACCTTCATTGCCTGAGTCTGGCCCAGAGTAGTCAATTACTGAGGGAATAGATTTACTGGTCAATTTTGGAAAAAAGAAAAAAGAACAAACTCCACCCCCAAACCAATAATAATAATAAATGTCAAACTAGTTAATTCAGTATCTAATATGAATAACCTCGAATCTACTTCCTTCCTACTCAGGGTCAATGAAAAATAACTTGAGTCAACATTTTATTTATCCAGTACAGTAAGCAACATTTGTTTTATTTCCCTTAATTCACAGTTTGGGAGCCTGTGGAGGGGACCCAGGTTAAAAGTAATATTTGCTTAGCAGAGCTTTTCTTTAGGACAAAAAAGCACGTTTAATAGGGCAAGCAAGACTAGGGAAATATTTAAACTGCATAAGAGGACAATCTGTGTTTAAAAACTCAGAAAGTTCATGGTAACAATTTACATGTTAAACAACATAATCTGGTCAGCAAACCGTGTTCTCTAAAGACTTATTTGATACTGTGTTTTTCAGTTGGTGTTACTTACTGTACTTACTAGAAAGTAAGAAAAAGTCATATCTGTTTTATAAAATATGTTTATTACTAATTCTGATTGACTTTTTCTCCTATTAGTAAAAGAATGAAACAACCATATTACTGTGGTTCATGTACAGAAATATTACAGCAGTTCACTATACCCTGCTTTACTAATACTAATTAAGTTCACACGAACTCCTCAATATGGCTTTTACTTGACTTAAAGTTTGTTTCAACATATTGACTTTCATTTACTTGGCCAAGTAATGCACTGAAATTCATTTTAATTGGGACGTTAAAGAACCTACAAAACTATAATAAAAGTGAAAGGAAAGAAAGAACTAACTATATTATTTTATTTTCCCCATAATTTTGTCCTGGGATTAATTTTTTGTTTGTTTGTTAATAAAATTTGCCCTTATTCCTAACTGGGAGCCTTCTTTAGAGAATATCTCAGATTTCATTTTTTTACACATTATTGGGTATATCTATAACTATTCTGAACAAACTGGAGTACAAGTAAACAATTTTTATTCCTATATTGGGGGATTTGCAAACAAACATTACAATATATTCTATTAAAATTATAAACTTTTGCTCCTGGGATTCTAATATTTGCTTAGTCCCAAGTCCTGAGGAAATCTGTTCAAGGTGAACCCAATAATTCCTGTGGGCTCTACAGGTAGCATAGGACTTGAATTGTACTGAAGACATGTGACCTTTACCACCAGGACATAAGGGATCTGAAAGCTTTGTTGCCAGTCAAGGTCATGGTTCCCAGAGTGAAGCCTCTCCTTACAAAGCCGAAGATCTATAGTTACAAATAAGTACAAGTGCAATCCTTTGAGATCCTCTTCTAGATTTAGGACACTGTAATAATATCAGTATTACTACTTCTAAAATAGTAATAATGCTAATGGGACTCATTTTTTTAGGACTTAACTTGTGCTAGGGAATGAGTTAAAGGTTTTTGCTTACTTTAAACATTTTTAGCAATTCATGTCATTATAAAAAGAAAACTCATAAATTGATAATATTATTTCTGTTTTACAGCTGGGGAAATTGCACTCAACAATAGTAATGCATTTGCCCACGTAAAGCTCAATAAAGGGAAGAACTGAGTTGTCCTGAGTTTTGTCCAAGGCACATGCCACTTCTGCCAGACTAGGCTGCCTCTCCATTAGACAAGATTCAGGTTCAGGGACAGCGAGAAGTTTGTAATAATAGTATTGGTGAATATTTGTAACACATTACAGTCT